TGGTGGCAAGGCGAGGGGCCAGGGGACCCTGTGGCAGCGAAGCCACCCCTTTCATGCAGGAGGGAAGCCTGACCCCCTGAAGAGACCCCTGACCCCGCAGGCAGTGGCTGTAGCACAGGCTCCCGGGGAGAGCCCTGCACCAGGCCAGCAGGGTCCATCAGCATGCTTTCCATCTCGGTGTCTCATCTGCCATCTCCAGCATTAAGGCCTCTGCTGGATAGTCAAAAAAGATCAAAAACCCCACTTTTTGAGTGCCCTCTGGGTCTCAATGCTGCAGCAATCATGACCCTCCCTCCCAAAATCATCCCAAGATCCCCCGGCACATGGATGCCCCCTCGCACAACATGCTGCAGGGACGGCCGTTCCCCACCAGCATCAGTGAGCACTGCTGCAGCGAGCGCAGCCCCCTCTCACCTGGCAAACCCACCCCAGGGGGAGCAGAGGGTATTTTTAGCAGCTCTCTGCACAGATAAGCAGCTGCAAATGGGGAGCACGGCAGCCTCCTGCACCAGCCGCCTTGCCCCAGCCCAACCACAGCTGCTCCCCACTGTTCAACCCGGGGGTCCTGGGGAGCTGCGGCACCCGGATGGAGCAGGGCCAGCCTCCTCCCTCCATCCCCTCTGCAGCCATCTGTACGGCGACCTGTTCACATTCAGCTGGGGACTTGCTTTCCCAAAAGACCCATCCCCAGGGTCTGTGGGGCTGCATCCCAAGAGCTACTGTCTGGGAGCTGCACAGGTACCCGGCCAGAAAGTGTACCGGCCCTCTGGCACCTCAACAAACCTTTCCTCTCTGTGCAGTAAAGGGATGAAGATGCTGCTGAGACATCTTGCTCCTTCCTGGGGTGGGCGAAGCCACCAGGCACCCATGTGCCCCTGCAGCCCCCTTGGCTTCAGGTTGGCTTTCACCCTCTCTGCCTTTCGCTCCTCATCACCGTCTCCCCCCAGACCTCACCGCATGAGACATCTGGCTCCTTCCTGGGGTGGGCGAAGCCACCAGGCACCCATGTGCCCCTGCAGCCCCCTTGGCTTCAGGTTGGCTTTCACCCTCTCTGCCTTTCGCTCCTCATCGCCGTCTCCCCCCAGACCTCACCGCATTTCCCTCCTCCTGGGCAGCAAGAGGACGACTAACTGCACCTTGTGCACGGCACGGCACCCTGGCGTAGCCAAGAGGCAGCCAGCACAGCCGGGGCCATCAGGAGGGACATGGAGGTGTTGCATCAAGGATGCCACCAGCCCCTCACTGTCCTTGTACCCCTGGGGTGCCATGACCTGGCCGCCCCAGGCCCGCCGGCCCTGGCAGCGGGGTGGCTCACACTCGCCACCCCCGCCCGTCTCCACCGGCACGGTCTTTAATAAGAAGCATGGAATATTTTAGCACCTATGGAAAAGCCACCACAGACGGTGGTGGCAGCCGTTGCCAGGGAGACGCTCCCAAAAATAGCCCCACTCCGCCAACCTTTCCCGATGCTGCTGTGGGGATGGGGGAGGCAGAGGGATGGAGGGATGGAAGGGTGGGGTTATGGATGGAGGGATGGAGGAAAGGAGAGAAAGAAGGATGGAGAGATGGATGGAGGAATGTTTGGAGGGATGGATAGAGGGGTGGATGGAAGGATGGCTGGAGAGGGATGTAGGGGGAAGCAGGAGGTCCTGGGAAGGTGAGCAAGTGCTGCCTGACCTCTCTCCTCCCTGGGGATGAAGACAAGTGCAACCTCCATGCCAGTAGCCCCTGCTTGGGCACATAAGGTCCCACTTTCCCGCAACACCAGCTAAGCCAGCATGAGCCCTCGAGCCCTCTCTGCCCTGGGCGGGTCTGACTTTGAGTGCTTAAACCAGACAACACAGTTTTGGACTCCTTAGCACCTGCCTGGCTCCCTCTGCCATCCTCCTCCGACCGTCCCATCTCTGCCCCAGTGCTCCAGGACTGCCCCGGCCGAGCTGTCCCGTCACAGGGGCAGAGGTGATGAGAGATGGAGGTGACCTATGGTGTTCAACCCCACCATGTTCCCCCTCCTCTCTGGGCATGACGAGTCACTTTCCACTCTGGTCCACTCTGGGATGAATCTTGGGGGTCAGGATGCGGCCTAAGCCACAGCCTGCAGCAGAAATGGAGGGGGAGTCCCAGCCAAGCACCTCCGAGGGCAAAAGCACAGAAGCCTTCCTGCTTTCAGGAAACTATTGCTTTAGTGAGAAGGAAACCCCCTTCTCCCATCTTTTCGCACCATTGCCATCACCTTGCAGGACAGGCAGAGGTGGGGAAGAGCCCTCAACAGAGCTGCTGCCGCATGGCCCAGGGGCTCTGCAGGAGAAGGAGTCTTCCAGACCAGCAAAGGCAGAGAGTGAAACCCAAAAATAGAACTAAAGGGAGGAGGGGGGAAAGAAAAAGAAACCCAACAACCCCAAATTCCCGTTTTTAATGCCAAATCCCAGCTCGCTCGCCTCCCTGTCACCCTGGCGACATTCCTTGCAGTCACCATGGAAACGGGAGGCATGGAGAGAGCATCACCGTGTGGGGCGGTGGCAGCGCCCGGCATTATTTCGGGAGGCAGGGAGACACCCGGTGCAAGGCGTTTCGTGTTGCGGCAGGGAGGGAGGGAGGAGGAAAGGTTTATTTTTACTTGCTCCCACTTTGTGTGCCAGTTTTTCCTTCTCTAAGCGTCCGGGTGCCCCTCGCCCTCCCGGCAGCCTTGCCAGGGCCCTGCTTCATGCCACATGGGGATGTCCAATGGGGAGACCCCAGCCCCACCACCATGTCCAAGCTGGGTGAGCTGGGCTGGGCTGCTCTGGTGAGGTCCCTCTCATGGTCACCTCACACGGTGGTTCCTGGTACCACAGCAGGAGATAACGCCGTGGCTTGGGGCCAATTAGCTCTTCTTGGGAATGCACAAGATGAAGAGAATAAACCTTTGCCACGCACAATGGTCTTACCCCTCTGCAGGCGGCTTCTTTCCCTGGGTGGGACAAGAAGCTGTGAAGGGGAGCAGAGGGACCAAAGGATGACTTGGAAGGGGATCTGCTGGCATAAAGGACCTTAAACCTGTTCCCCCAAAATCTCCCATCCCTGCTCCACGTCTCAAACCTCTCTCTGCCCACCTGCAAAAGGACCTCAGACACCTGGGACCAGCTGGGCCACCGGGGCTGGGGCTTGGCTTTCACCAGCACCCGCGTGGCCTTGCAGAGCCCTGCTGAAACCCCACGCGACTCCGTTCCGGCAGCTGGAAACCAAATTTCAGCCAGTCCCTACCCTGTCGCTCCTTTGCCAACGCTATCCTTTGGTCTCTCCTCTCCCACCTCCCCAACCTCTGCCTCTGTGCCATCAGGGGCAGGCAGGGCCCTCCCCGGTTTCCCAGGGCCGAGGGGGTGTTTTCCAGCCCGGCCTGGGAATGTGGTTGGAAAAGCCCGGTGCGGCAGGTGCTGGAGTGGCAGAGAGGGAAAACACGGCAGCCAGCCTAATGGGCAGAGAGAAAATATATGCAAATGTATTCAGAAAGGAATCCGGTGATGCTAATAGACTTGTTAGTCCTCTCAGTAAGCACCGGGAATAATATTTTTATGCTTTAATCATTAAGGATTTTACTCCAAGCGAGCCCATCAGGATGTGCCGACGGAGGGAGAGGCAGAGGGGAACGGCCGCGGGTGAGGCTGGGGACCCGGAGGGACGGGGAGGCCGCAGCCACAGCTGGCCCCGGGACAGGAGCAGGCAGGGTCATGCAACCCTGGAGTAACCAAATTAGACCCAAGGCCAGACATGATTTGTTTGGGGACGAGGCGATAAACTGAGACGTCCATTTGGTTGTATTAAAGTAGCTTTATATTAGTGATTAGATAATGACTGCCTAATGCTCCCATCTCGATGCAGAGGTCTGCTCACGCTGCCGTGAGACCTCCCTGTGTAACCGCGGCTGCAAGGACAAGACTTATCCCAACCAGGCTGGTCAGCCAGGGCTGTTTCTGAATATCTGAAAACTTTATAACCATCACTACTAAGTTCCTTTCTGTAAAACCTATAAAAACCAGCAGTACCTACGTGCTGCTTTCATGTTTGTAATCCACTTCCAGGAATCCAAGGTTAATATTTTCAGCAAAGTTTGTTTCAAACCAGCCCTTGGTAGGATCTTTTTTCTTTCCTCCGGGGCTGGGCTCTGCACCACTCCAGACAGAACACCCGTGATGGTGGGGGCGGCTGGTGGGGGGCTGCCGGGGAATGGTTGTGCATGACCCGCTGCGGAAGTGGGATGTGACATACAGCCGCAGCAGCCCAATAATTCAGCTCTCTCCCTGCTTCTTCGTTTGCTTCAGGAGACAAAGTGGAACACCGAGGAGAAGGTGCTGGAGGCAGGACGGGGCCAGGAAGGACAGAGGGCAGGAGACTGCCAGCTGGGAGCGGGACAGAAGTTAATGCCCCCACGGGGAATGTCCCCGGAAAGGGTGCGTCCCCAAGGCCAGAGGATGGGGATCCCTTTCCCTCTGCCTTTTCCCCTTTAATGACACTTCCGTGTGTAACTTGAGACAAGTTGGGGAAGAAAAAAGAGGAAGGGAAAAAAAATAAAAAGTGAAAAATAGCACAGTTATTCCCGCCTCCGCCTCCTCCTCCCTCTCCTCCCCGGCCAGCCAGGAGCCACGTCACCGTCACCCAGCGCTGGCTTCAGGGCTGCTCAGCAGGCTCACTCTGGGGCTCTCCAGGGGACAGCCCCCAACTTTTGGCCCAAAGCAGGGAGAGGAAGGCCCCGGGGGAGAGAGAAAATCCACCTTGGGGGAAAAGTAAGCAAAGGGAGACGTCCAGCTTGAGTGCCTGGCAGGGAAACGGCGCTTGCGACCAGGGGAGAGGGAAGCCTGAACTTTTCTCTGCCAGAAGAGAGGGCTCCGTACTCGGTGAAAAAGGAAGGTTGAGCCAGAGGAGAGCGTCCGCTCGATCAAGGCTCAGGGGTGAAAAACTCCCTGCCCTCATCCTCCCTGCCTGCAGAAAACACCTTGCTCCCTTCCCTACGGAGGAGCCCCCCCGGCACCATGAACGTTTTCCGCATCCTGGGGGATGTCTCCCACTTGCTGGCCATCATCATCCTCCTGCTGATGATCCAGAAGACCAAGTCCTGTGCTGGTGAGTGCTCCTACACCACAGGGAAGGAGGAGGGACCTTCTTTGAGGCTCAGCAAGGGGTGCGAGCAAAATGGGTGCCAAAAAGGCTAGCGATAGCCCATGCACAGTGACAGCCCTCCCCAATGGGCTTTTCAAGGGAAGTCATCCTCCTCCTCCTCTGGGAGGTCTCCCTGCCAGGAGGAGAGGGCTGCGTTGGAAGGATGTGATGTGGCAAGGCGTACGGCCTCGTGCAGGTGTTGGTCTCGGGGTGGTGAAGCGAAGGGGAGGACAGCAGGGCTGGAGAGAGGTGGAAAACAAGCACAAGAAGTTGTAGCGGCACCAAAACTGATGATCTCGAGAGAAAGTCGCTTTAGGTCAGAGGTCCTGCCAGCCAGTGGGCAGGTACCAGAGGCTGCCCCGTCCCTGGGTGAGGAAACCAGGGCAGCGGCTGGTCACAGGAGGGTTTTGCTCAAAGTTCAGGATTTCCTCCCCAAGAGACTTCGGGGCTGGGCTGCAGCACCACGGCTGTTATCACAGGTAGAGAAACAGGAGGGTCTGACTGCATCTCCCTGCCAGCGATGACTAAGCTCTGTCAGCATCCCTGGGCCGGTCCCTGATCCCACAGCTCTGCCCTGGTGCGGCAGATGTCACATCACGCAACCCCCTGGAGAAGTCGGCAGGCGAAGGGGGCGAGGGAGGGAAGAAAAAGGCATTTTGATGACAGTAAGGACTGAATTGGCCAAAGCAGTGAACGTTCCCACTTAGCGCTGGTCCCTACGACCCAAGGCAGGGCTCAGGGGTGGCAGCAGCAGCCTGCCCTGTGACTTGGGAGACTCCAGCCAGTCCTGAGGTAGGTCTAGAGCTACCACAGCACCTACACGCCTGACAAAGCAAAAAAAAAAAAACCACTTCCAAAGGAGGCGTAAGGGGAAACCACCATCCTAAGGGTCTTTCCTCTCATCTGCCTTACCTTCCTTTCTTCTCCCTGCCACGCAGGTATCTCTGGGAAGAGTCAGATTCTTTTCGCCCTCGTCTTCACAACCCGCTATCTGGACCTGTTCACCACCTTCATCTCTGTCTATAACACCGTGATGAAGGTAAGGAGAGAGCAGTGTGGAAGCAGAGGTTCTCCTCAGCTCGCCATGCTTTCTTGGGGAGGAGAAGTTACACAGTCACTAAGTTTTTCAGCCAGAGGGAAGAAGGAGAAATTCTATCTTCTTCACCTGTCACCAACGCTACAGGGGGTTATACACAGGATAAAAATGCTTCTTTTGGTGTCACTGGCCCTCCATTGACCAAAAAAAAAACCAACCCCTCGCTGCAGTCAGTGAGCAAGCTGAGCCCACCAGATTTAGTACCACCAAACCAGAACAAAATGCCATGAAACAAGCCTGGGTGTCCTTGCACAGCAGGAGTGTTGACAGACAGCTGCCACTAAGCCAACCTCTTCACACAGAGTCCTAGAGGGCTCGAGCAAGTGTGATCCCCATGGTGGGGCAATCTTTAGTTGACCACTGCAGTATCTCCAGCAGAAGTCAATCCACAAGCCAGCACAGAAAAAAATCATTCACCACTCTGGCATGGCCCCACCAGAACTGAGTTAAAAGATCTCGATTTTGCCAAAGCCGTCCTCTCTTCGAGCACAGAAGGTGTAATCGCAGGTAAGGTCTTACCATCTCCCTTCCCTCCCCCAGGTCATTTTTTTGATATGTGCCTATGTCACCGTGTACATGATCTACGTGAAATTCCGGAAAACGTTTGACAGCGAGAATGACTCCTTTCGCCTTGAGTTCCTGCTGGTCCCTGTCACAGGCCTGTCGTTCCTGGAGAACCACAGTTTCACCGCCTTGGAGGTAAGGAAAACCTGACACAGGAAAGGGGAGGGGGAGCAGCAGCCTGACACCAGGCAGCAGAGTTCGCAGCATGTTGAATAGTTGAGATTTTTAACAGCAAAAGCAGGCAGGAAAGGCAAGGTTGGCAGGCCTTGAAGACCATACCATCTATAGAGCAGCACAGCGCTGTCTTCTCTCAGCCCCAGCAGAGCAAGCTCATTTTCCCCAGCTCCAGCAGCACCACTCATCCCGCTCGCACATCGGTGCTCTGCCACATGAAAAGCTTTGGCTCTTAACACATATTAACCAGCACCGACTCTCCACTGATTTCATTTTGCAGATACTCTGGACCTTCTCTATCTACCTGGAGTCCGTGGCTATCCTTCCTCAGCTCTTCATGATCAGCAAGACGGGGGAGGCAGAGACCATCACGACACACTACCTTTTCTTCCTGGGCCTCTACCGCGCTCTCTACATTGCCAACTGGGTCTGGCGCTACTACACGGAGAATTTCTATGACCAGATCGCTGTAGTTTCCGGGGTGGTACAAACCATCTTCTACTGCGACTTCTTCTATCTCTATGTTACAAAAGGTAGGTAAAGGGGTTGGTATAAATCATTTGGCACTCTTGCAACGTACGGTGGAACTGCAGCTTGCCACGCATTAATCCTTATGTGGCTTTATTCTTTGCTGTGTTTGTGATGCACGTTGTCTGCCTAAAATCCAGTTTAAAAAAAAAACATATCCGTTGAATGCAAGTGGGCATCTCTGCTCACAAGGCTGTAGATGTGCATGTGAAACAAAGTAAAAGTTAGACCAGAGCTAAGCCTGGTTTAACCCCACCTTGGGAAGTTAACAATTGAGGTATATTCAATTCTACGTACATTTTGAAAGATTATGAATCACGCAAAAAAAAACTTTGAGGGGGAAAAAAAAATAGCTGTAGGCAGACAATGTACCTGAGAAAGCAACTGCAGACATATGGAGATATTATTAAGCCTACTTTTTCTTTTGATGGAGAAGATGTAACATTCTCAAGAACTGATTCTGTAGGAAGATGGGCATCTGCACGGAGAAGACACCCCTTTGTTTCCCAAAATCAGATGCCCCTTCCACTTCAGTGCTGGGCTTTGGTACATGGTTATATGCCAGAGCTAACAAGTGCATTGAGGGCATAAAATTTGGTAGAACACGGTATGGTTTGCTGAGGTTGAAGTACGCTTTAAAACACTTTTCTGTTGAGGAGGATGGAATTTGATGAAATCTAGCTGGGAGAGCAAATATTTTCTTCCTCCTTCATGTTCCTGAACTAGTCTGCTAAATGCAGGAGTGATGGCCCCCATTTGGTGTTTCAAGGGGTGGATCTTTGGTAGCTTCATGCAATATACCTGCTGATAGAGAGGTGACAGGAGCACTCGGCAGGTGGCTGGCCTTGGCGGATTAAGACTTCCTTCTGTCATTAAAACATTTTTGAGGCCAGAAAAGTACTTTGTAAAACTGCCATCAAGGTGCTCCACGTCAATTCCTTTTTTTTTTTTTAATATTTTATTTTAAACTAATTCCCATTTTAGCTTCACTCAATTCATGTGTCCTGTGTCCTGTATTTTGTGAGAAATCTTTGTAGTTGCGGATGGTGGAACAAAAGGTGGGAAAAAAACAACTGCTGGCTTTCAGTCTCGCATTGCTAGTGATAAAACTGCAAAATTTAGATGATACGGGAGGCAGAAGAAAAAAAACTTGTCACTGGGACATCTCAGCAGG